CGGGCTTCGAGCTTGTACTAGCGCCAAGTGCCACTTATTTCCCGTGGCAGATGCTTCACCCGCGCCGGGCTGTTCACGTGCTGTAAGCAAGGGGCACGTCCCTCGGTGCAGGAAATCGCTGAGGGTCCTGGTTAGAGCACAGGAGCGTCTGGATCACGTGCAGACAACTGAGCACACCGCCGACCGGTCTCGACAGTCATATGAGCGACGTGGTCAGAGCGTGGAGCTCCGCCATGGCGGCCTGACGCTCTGTCATGGCTTGTGCCTGCCATGGCAGCGCTTCTGCCGCAGGCAGTGTCTGCTCGCCTGCTATAGCAGTGCTCTTGCGGCAGGCAGTGTCTGCTAGCCTGCTGTAGCAGTGTGTCTGCGGCAGACAGCGTCGCACCTGGAGCCTGACAGGTCGCACCAGCCCGACCCTGCGCGACTGTTGGGACAAGCGATGCGACAAACGGAGCGTCGTCTATGTCACGGTTGTGTGGGTCGTGATGAAGTCATCAGATCTCGTTTCGCAAAGCGCCAAGCTCCGGTCACCGCCAGTCACTGCAGGACCGAGCGTAGGCACAGCAGTACGTCTGACCCGAAGAGGTCGGCGGTCGCGAGAGCCGCCCAGAGCTGTGACGTCACCGCTGACGGAGGGATGAGCAGGCGTGACCCGCGGGCCCGGCGCCGCCTCGTCATCCGGCGCTCAGTCAGCGCCAGTCTGGGAGCCCTCCATTCCTGCGGTCAACCTGGTGACGCCGTGTTGACCCGCGAAATGTCACTGGCCTCCTTCCATCTTCGCCGGAAGCGCGTCCGGCTCCAGCCAGCTTGTTGAGAGTCATGCCACCAGGAGCGCGAGGCGTGCTTTGAGGCCGATATAGTTTGGTTTGTGGCGAGGCCGGCTTAAAACAAACACTGCGGGAAGCGAGACAGATCTGATCGTGCACTCGATGTGGTGAATAGTTTGCTGAACCAGCAGTGCGCGGAGAAATCGTGTCAAACGTATCCAACGAATCGTCCTGCATTGAGTGGCTAAGCTTGAACTCACGGTGCGGGAGTGTCACAACATTGCACGGAACGCAAAAAGTTCACCTGCGGTTTCGCCCGATAAAAATGTTGAAGTGGGCTCAATGACCGCGTGAAAGTCGCTGCTCAGTGTGCGCTGAACCGAAAGTCATTGATGAAGAACAAAGCCATTCAGAAAAGAATGTTCGCCGCAATTAATTGTGTGGGTGCGCTCCCTTCCAAAAATAATTGAGGGTCGCACTTGTATTCACGCAAACCCTTTATCTTCTTGAGATACACATAGCCAAGATGCACAACGCCGAGTTACGATCACGACATTCTTCGAGCGTCACATTGGCGGTAACTGGTGGGAAACGGTGACTGATTCGCCGTATAAAGCCTCTGTGGCATCGTCTCGACTGCCGCCGTCGTCGCCGGTAGAAAGCTCGGACCATTGGGCTGCCGGTCTGCGCCAGACCATGAGCCGGTCCCGCTTCCACGGAGAGGCACATTCTCCAGCTGGCTTCGGAGGCGCTGGCGCCGCTCGCATGCGCTTTCTCCGCGGAAGGACCTCCACGGGCTCACTGAGTCGCTCCGTCCTTCAGAGGCGGGTGGTCTTTGACAGTGTCGGTTCACTGGCAGATGCGATTCGCCCCAGTTTTTGTCGGCGTTTTGTCCACTAGGCTTGTGGGTCCGCAAAATCTCACACGGGTTGCCGCAATAGGACCAGCGAAATGTTAGTCACTGTGTGGGATCCAATTCTGAGACTGCAGGGAGATGAGCCCCGTCATTCTGATGCCGACTGCGACCTGCAGCGGGTTCCAGCCGGCCGCGAGGGGGCCCCTTCAGTGAGCCGTGCCCCCTGCAGCGGGCTCCAGCCAGCAGCGAGGGGGCCCCTTCAGTGAGCCGTGCCCCCTGCAGCGGGCTCCAGCCGGCCGCGAGGGAGCCCCTTCAGTGAGCCGTGCTCCTTGCAGCGGGCTCCAGCCGGCCGCGAGGGAGCCCCTTCAGTGAGCCGTGCTCCCTGCAGCGGGCTCCAGCCGGCCGCGAGGGGACCCCTTCAGTGAGCCGTGCTCCCTGCAGCGGGTTCCAGCCAGCCGCGAGAGGACCCCTTCAGTGCGCCGTGCTCCCTGCAGCGGGCTCCAGCCGGCCGCGAGAGGACCCCGTCAGTGAGCCGTGCTCCCTGCAGCGGGCTCCAGCCGGCCGCGAGGGGACCCCTTCAGTGAGCCGTGCTCCTTGCAGCGGGCTCCAGCCAGCCGCGGGGGGACCCTTCAGTGAGCCGTGCTCCTTGCAGCTCGTACTGTGGGCGTCCAGTGAGCGGTGTGAGGCGCCGGCGTGGGCTGCGGGACAGCCGAGCGATGGAGGTGACGTGGTCTCCGATCGGCTCTGGCTGCGCGCTGGTGACTGACTCAGGCCCAGACCGGCGACCACCATGTGAGCGGCCGGGGCATGGGCCGTCGTAGATGGTTCGGCGTGCTGTTCAGTGAAAAGAAAACTGGGTTGCGTCACTAGTCGATGTGTGGTCGCAAACCAGCCCACCCACTCGGTCCTCAGGCCTGCTCCGGTCGAGACAGGGTCGCCTAAACGATGCCACTCCACTGGACGTTGGCAATGACATCTGCTTAAGGAAGGACTGGCTTACGACCGCACGCAGCGGACCGTGCAAACAACTGCGTGAACAAGCCGATTCCTTGTATGGTGATGAGCCAGCGGACTCTGATCGCGTGTGATACATGGTGATGAGCCAGAGCCGCTCGACACCGATTGCGTATGATGTCCACCGCACCGCCATCACGTGGCCCCAGCGCCGCAGAGCAGGTCCCCGGGTCGTCGCGGTTCTCGGTTTTGTTGCCAAGCTGCCCACAGCCGTAGGAGCGGAACCGGCTAACCCTCCGCCCGCAAACTGTTGGATTATCGTTGTGGACTGAGATAGAGGTGTCGCCCCACGTGAGCCGCTTGGTCTTGGGCTCATGCGATCTTACAAATGTGGCGTTCGTGTGTGACAGGATGATGACCAGGATATGTCAGGTTTGACAGATGTTTCCGGGATTTGTGTCTGCTGGCGCTTTTGGACCGCACGCGCCAGCAAGGACCAATCAACTATTCAGAGCTTACGAAAAAAAAAACATCAACCGAAGCCGGGACCGCAACCGTTAGCATTAAAGGGATAGCTCCACATTTAAAGATATTGAAGTAAGATTAGATGTGAGGATAAGATCATTAATCACTATTGACATGCTTTTAAGTGGAAAAGGCTGCTCTAGACAACGCGATGTCTCGGCTTAGTGAAGATGCCCCTCAATGCGTCATTGGTTGATTACATTGTCGTACCTTGCACAATATTGATTAAGAGCTAATTGTCGGTCGTTATATCTGGAAATCGTGCTCACGAACACAGATATGGACGACTCGACTATTATATACGTATGGGTGAGTTGTTCAGTGCATTAGCGAGGAACACTATTCACATAGATAAGGCAATAGTATTAACCTCATTCCTCGGAGAGAACCAGGAGAATGGAGATATAGTTGAGTTGATATTTCGGCAACATGCCTTTATCGAAACAATAGCAGAAGTGCTATTCTTATCTGTCTTCTATCTTCTGCTATTGTTTCGATAAAGGCATGTTGCCGAAATATCAACCCAACTATATCTCCATTTTCCTGGTTTTCCTCCGAGGAATGGGGCCAATACTACTGTCATATCTGTCTTGGTCTTGATCGCTGCATGACCAATGGAATGGCAGGATTTCAATGACGTCATTATGCCGTCATGGATGCCTAGGTGACCTTGCAAGGTTCCCCGAAAAAGTCTGCGTATCTTCGTGGTCGTGGGGTTCAGAAACTGAAAAGGTTCACAGTTCCGTCTTAAGGACGGGGCTGCGAACCGCACTGAATGATCTTGAAGACTGCTATTTCAGTTCAAAACCCCATGCAAATGTGAGGCATTTCCTTTAAGGTTTGAGCATCAAGGTTAGTGAATTAAACCAGAGTGTTTTTCGAAAGCTTCGAGTGGTAACCAGTGTTCTTGGGCCCGTTTTGCGTTTTTTTCGAGGACAGGTGTTTCAAAACCTGTCTTTGCAGCTTGTTATTCTGGAGGCGTGCTCGTCGGGCTTCGAGAAGATGTAATAAAAAGGCTTCATCTCAAGTAACGTTGGGATACTGTACATTTAATAAATAGACACGAAGACTGTTAATTAGACAGGACAGCTAAGAGCGAGTGACATGAGCTCACTGATTCCACGGCTACGCAGAAACGTCCCAATAAATACACCATATCACAGGAAACGCGACCGAACAGGAACATCGTGCTCATAGGTTGAGTCATTACCATTCTAGCTGCCATTTCGATACATCAGCAAAGCAGCCCGTCAAGAGGAGGCCACAAAACAACAACAAACAGCAGCGCCGTCCGACTCGGGGTTCGGTGGTACCGTTGTGGACGACGCGACACGCGCAGCCGGCCACGGCACGTCCTGCAGGCGCCGGACGCAGCGGCGCCACGCCAGTGCCTCCCAGCTCGAGCCAGCGAGGCGACCGCACAGCCCGGCGCAGACCAGCCCAGTCCAGCAGAAGGCGCGCCCTCTGAATTGCACACACAGCGCGGTCGGGCGGGGACGGCACCGTCGCCCGCGGCCAGATCGTGACGTCACAGGTTCATCACGAAGTCACACGGTCCACATCCAGCCCACAGACCCGCCGCCTCGCGCACAACTCGTCCTGTCCCCGGCGTTTGTACTGCTATGCTCAGATCAATGGTCAGATCGTTTGGTTCGCGATAATACTAGAAATGGCCCGCGGCCGCGCCCACACGTATCACATCCGCCCGTCTCGCGCCAGTTGCACGGCAACACCAACACGCTGAATACAACAACGCCTGGCGGCATCCCCGGCATGGCGTCTCGGAGCGCCGGCTCGGAGCGCCGCCTCGGAGCGCCGCCTCGGAGCGCCGGCTCGGAGCGCGGCATCGGAGCGGCGCGTCGGACCTACCGTCCGACAGCGCCGGCAGCCGCCAGCGACAGCGCCGCTGCTCGCCGGCCTGCGGAGCCGCGCGGCCCGGCGCGTCTGATAGCCGCGGCTGCATCTGGCTGCTCCAGCGGCTCACTCGTCGGGGAGCCGGCGGCGCAGCGCGCCGAACACCTTGTCCAGGTGGGCGAGGTACATTATGTACTCGCGGATGATGACCCAGTTGCGGAGGTTGCGCCCGCGGCTGCTGTCCATGTCTCGCACGTCCTGGCCCATGATGTCGGCAGTGACTGAGCTGTCGGCGGCCAGCCGCTTCTCCAGCAGCGCGATCTGCAGCTCGCAGAGCAGCTGCCGGACGGAGAAGTCAGGTCAGGTCAGGTCGAGTCAGGCAGGCCGGGAAGCCGAGCGGCGGCCGCAGCGATCCGGCGCGGACAGCGGTGGGCAGCCCAGGCGTAGCAACACGCGTCAGGTGGAGTGAGGTGGAGTGCGTGGGCGTCAAGAGGCCTTCGCCACGAAATGGGAAAAGAAAAAAGTCCATTCGGCGCAGTGAGACAATCAAACTGGCGGAGTAGCAGCCGACGACTACCACTGTGCAACCGCCGCGCTGCTTATGAACACGTTATGCTGTCTCAGCCACGGCTCCCTTCTACCAAACTGCACGATCACGTATTGAACACGTAAGTCGCCTGCAAGAACACGCCTCGCCACCACCGGGACGAGCCTCGGAGCTCGCGCCATTGCTACCCCGCCGCTCACCTGCATAAGGTCGGCCTGCAGGCGCCGGAACGCGTCCAGATTCGGGTCGCCATACAGCGCGGCGTCAACGGTCATCTGCTCGAAGCCGATGGCCAGTCGCTGCAGATTGGCGAAGTGGGTGCGGAGCGCGGAGCCGAGGCTGATGGCGCTCGGACCGCCGTCGGCCGCGTCCTGCTGCGCCAGCTGCGCCTCCGCCTGGTCGATGGTGGCGCGCACGAAGCCGAGCCAGCTCATGTTGTGGTGGCCCCAGTCGCGCAGCATCTCCGACTGGTCCGCGTGGTACGTCGACCGTACCTGGCGACGGAGGAGGGCGTGGTGAGGTGCGGCCGATGACGGCGTCGCGGGAAGCACGGGCTGGGCAGTAGCGGGGGGCCTGCCCCAGTCGAAACAGTGACGATATGTGGCGGGAGGGGAGGGAGAGCGAATACTCCTCGAACCCCAGCCGAGACGGAGCGCACATTGGAGGGGTTAGGGGGGGGGGATAAGAGGGGACATGGCACATCTGGTGCGAATATCGCGGTGGGAACTGATGGCGTGCGTTTCATCGAACGCTAGTTGGGCGGCGAGGGCAGGGACGACGCAAGACATTGGGCAGGTACAGAAAGACAGTCCAGACTGCTGCCGCTCTTCACAGCGCGGGAGAACGCCGAAAGGGCCGACGGCGGATAGCCGTCCCAAATCACGCAACAAAACCAGATCAACGACCGCCACAGTACTCGCTGAACCCCCAAGGCCACGGGCCACGGCCCGCCGTCAATCCAGTCAGTTGCGAGCGAGCTCTCGCCGCCGGATTAGATCTCGATCAGCCGGCTCGACCCGGCCGGACATCTCACGTATCGCCCTGACGTAACCGAAGACAGTGCGACGGCGCTGTTTGACGATCCGTCGCCATCCGCCGACGGATCAGTGCCAGACCAGTCAGCGGCCTGTGACAGAAGCGCCACGTGGACCGTTGCGCGGTGACGTGGTCGCCAGAGACGGCCCCTCGGGACCGCCCGAGGCCCACAGTCTGGTGGGCGGCGCCGTCAGAGGCGGCGCCGCCGGAGGTTCAGCCGGGGGCCACCGTCGGCGCTCTGGCACGTCCCACACCCGGCGCCCTCATGTCTGGTTAGAAAGGGGTGGGGTCCTCATTACTCCTCCTATTGTACTAAGCCCCTGGCAACGTGCGGATGAAGCATCACCGCTTAAGCCATACTTTTCGAGCGACAAACTTTCGACCTGCTGACCGGACCTGACCTCGGCAGCGCCATTGCGCATCAGTGGTCTCGGCTGGCGCCGCGAAAGGGGCCCCGGCCGTCCACGGACCGGAACCGCACCGCCCAGTTCCGAGGCTCACGCCCCTGGCTGTGGGGGGGGGGGGGGGGTACGGGAGGCCCTCCGCTGGTAAGCAGCCGCAGCCCGGCCGCCGCTCAGGGTACTGGGCGAGCGTACAGCGATCATCGGAACAGCTACCCGGCATTCGCGCCGAAGCCGGCCGGCAGGCTCGAGTGGACCAACGGCGTGTGCGGTGGAGACGGACCCGTGGAACCGACAGCGGTTCCACGTGTGTATCTCCTTTTTGGAACCGACTGCGGTCCTCCCGAGCCAGCCGGAGGACGCGCTCACCACCCGGGGCAGAGCTCGTCACGCCGTGAATCACCGCCGCCAGCGCCGGCACGAGCGGCGGCTGCGTGACATCACGCGACGAGCGCCGCCACCGCGCCATGCGTCTCGGCTGCGCCGCCCTCTGAGGAGGCCCTCGTGGGCGGTGGCATCAGCCGGCGCCGGCGTGACGGCGACACCCCGGAGGGCACGCGCCCGGCGCCGCGCCGTGATGGCTCGCGTCCGGCTCGGCGGCTGCTGGCCGCGTCGCGCCAGCTGGCCGATCGGATCCGTGTGGGGCAGCTCTGGCACCGTTCGACGCGGTGCCAAGATCGGCTTATGTCGCCGGGCCGCACGTTCTGGCCGGTAATCGGCGTGCACGTGCACAGAGCCGGCGGTCAGTTGGCGGGCGCCGGGGCGCGTGCGTACCGGCTCATGACCGCGCTGCACCACGCGTGACCTCAGTCCAGCGCGATTTGTTGCAGCGCGCCGGACATGGGGGCCGCCTGTGGGGGCAAGGACGGCCGCTGCGACTGTCGCGTTCGCGCCGTTTTCTTCAGGCCATTTCGCGCCGTTTTTCAGGCCGTTGTACGCGCCGTTTTCGAGGACGAGCAGCTGCTACCCTTGACTCGGGGAACTCCGGAGTTTTTTTCAGGCCGGACGGGCGGCTCCACAAAGCCCTCGCGGAGCGCAGCTGATCGACCGCAAGCTTGCAAGTGATTTGTTGATGCCCTGGATGATGTGTTCGTCATGAGTTCATGATTGACGCTGGTGGCACCTGCTATATACTGCATCACTGCGGAGCAGTGTCCATCAGGCAAATTGCCTTCGAAGTTGTCACAGCAGCATGGTGTACGCGCGAAAGACTAACCCCACGCCAGACGCTATAGAGATACGTACCGATCATTTGGGCCAGGGGAAATGTTTCATATGGTCTCCATGTTCACTGTGCGTTTCTGTTATACCGACAGTGGTGGCATAGCTCGTGTCCCACAAAGTTCCGAATCGCAAAGTCCTATGGAATTTGCGCACCAAGAAGGACGCCACAAACATCTGATCCGTCGCGTATCCTGCCAATGCGACAAATATTCCCCACGGCGCCCGGATAAATTTGGCCTTGATGGCATCAAACAGCGTGAGCAACGAGGATAACAGGCATTCTCCGCGACCAAGCAGGATCTAGGCCGTTCAATCCACCCTGGGCGCTCCTCGACTTTGAGGGCATCGCGTCACAGCTGAGTTAAGCGAAACACCTGCAGGATGGCATTTTTGCTCCATTTTTGCTCGTACACACCGCGTAACGTTGCTCGCACCGAACCAAAACACACTCAGCTGACGCGGCAAACGGATCGTCTCCGAGCAGCACCGAAAACCGGCCCCAGCCACAGACTCACAATGTCTATCGGCGCCACTGAACGCTCAGCCCCTGGCCACACGATGTCGGGAGCCGTGTCTGCACAATCCCGTCACAGCGCGCCCCCCCCCCCCCCTCCCCCCCCCCAGCGCTGGAGCGGTGACGTAGCCGAGCTGTGCTGGCCGGGCGGGCGGGCGGGCGCCCGCGCGCGCCGTCAGCTTCGGGGGCCGCCGCCGCCGTGGCGTGCGTTGGTGAGATGAGGCAGTCAGGAATGCAACGCCGGCGGGCTGACGCGCCGCGGCCGCTTTCCCAGAAGGCGCTCGGGAAGCTGCTTCGCAGACCCCGGCCTCACTGCGCCCGGTCGCGCTTCGGCGGCGCTTCGCAGCGCTCCCCGCGCCTCCCGTGCGCCTCGGCGGTACTTCGGGTCCCCTCGAGCGCGTTTCGGGCGCGCCGCGCGGCCGGCTCCTGGCGCGGCGCGTGGCGGCGCCCGGCCGGCGCCCGCCGGTCATCGGCGCGGAGGGCGGGGCGGGCCGCCGTCTGCACGGCGGCTGGCGGCGGCGCCCGCCCGCCCGCCGTCGACACGGCTCGGAATGCGGCGGCGCGACTCGGCGGCCGCAGCGACAGACGCTGGGCGCGCCGCGCGCGGCCGGCTCGCGCGAGCGACGGCCGTTTCATTCAGGGCCGGTCCATTCATCGGGCGGTCAGGGCGGAGACGGGAGCGCCGGCCATCCCGGCCGTCTGATGGGTCTGTCTGGCCGAGGCGGGATGCGAAGGGCGGAGTCGCCTCCAGAAGGCGTGCTAGCGCCGGCCGTGCCGCTCAGGCGAACGATGTCGGGTCTCGCCGCCTCCGAGGCTTCCACTGGCATTTCGAGGATGCACCGCACTTTCCATAAGCCCGTGAGAGTCGACTTTGCCGGTCAGCCAGAGCCTGGCCCCACATGGCTGGGGATAACGGACATGCCGGGAAGGGTAAGACGGCAAAGATGCAATGCCACACAATCCGGGATGTCCACATAGGGCATGACGCACCTTCTGACACACCAGGGCGTTGCAGAGAAGGCAGGGAATTGCAGGAAGCCGAGAGAGCGCCGGCCGCCAGACAGTGTGGAGGCGGCGGCACGCGAGCCGGCGGCCAGACGCAGACAGCGCCAGGGTCGCCGTGACGCATGGGTCAGGTGTGACCTCACTCACGCGTCACCTCACCGTCACCGTCACCTCTTATGTCACCGACAGACCTCAGCGCAGACGCGCAAGTGCCGCCATATAGGGACGCCGCGCGGCGCCGGACGGGAAACGTGAGACCGGAAGGCGGTCGTCTTCAGAGGGGCGGCGGGGGTGGAGGAGAGGCATGTCACCGCGCCCCAGACCGGGGCCGGCGCGGCGGAACGCCTGTTGAGTCAGAAAGAAACGCCGGAATGTTCAGTTTGCTCCGGTCCACGCCTCGCCACACAGTGGGCCGTTAGGTCCACGTTCGCAGCCCCTTATGCAACGGCTGCAAAATCGCACTAACTGACGCAAGCCGCCCGAACGTGCACATTTCATCGATGCAGTTGATGCTGACGCAAATGGAGCACGACGCGACAAGTTTGTTGTGTCTAAGAGCGCGGTGATCTGGGGCTCGTCGTGGCGGCGGACGCCGCGCACTCGGGTCCCAGCTACAACCGTGACATCCTCTTCGACGCCGACCACAGCAAGCCGTGGAAAACGGGCCGCGGCGGGGAATGGCGGCGCGTACACGCCGTGCTGCACGCCGGACCGGTCTTTCCAAGGGGCGACCGCCGCACCGCCCCAGTCGCAACCGATTAAGTGCTTCGCGAACGACTCGAGCAAAGCACGGACAGCCTTGCAGGGCTGAATGGGCTGCTTTCATTGGCCGGGCGACCGGGTACTTGTACTCTGATTGGTGGCGCGCCGCCCGCCCGGCTCGTCATATATAAAATATTTTACCGTAATCGACGACAATTTTCTCCATCGCGGCACGCGAATCACCGGGCTCGGCCAATCAGAGCCGAGCCGGCGTGAGCGCCGCGTGGATGCAGCGTTATTGGGCCAATCAAACCACAGTTGGCCGCCGCGGTCGGCAGGCGGCGGACGGCGGGCGGCGGCGACGGCGGATCCGCGTGAAGGGTGAACACCCCTACTGATCCGCGGACCGAGCGAACACCCCCCGAACCAGGGGCTAGCCCGACCTGGACGGCCGTCGCTCGACTACTTCCGGCCCGAAGTGTAGCTTGGCTGAGCGGGCGCCGCGGCTTCGCCGGCGCCGCGGACTCGCCGGCGGCCTCAGCGGCGCCGGCGCCGGCGCGGCGCGGCCCGGCGCCGCCAGTCGCGTCACACGTGCCGTCCGGCGCGACTGAGT